AAGCTCTGATCAGTTTATACAGTTGTACCATACAAAGAAGAGAACTGCAAATAAAGAAATCTAGCTGTGATGTGGCTCAAGTGTCAGCAGCTGTTGCTTTCTGTGATTGTGGAGAACTATGCTGACATTAGTGCGTCTGCAGGTTTCTGCTTCTGCTGCTCTGAGACTGAACAGCCCCCCCTGGTGGAATGTTCCCAGCCAGAGTGGGTTGAGATTAAGAACTCAGTAGGTGCTTTACAGCTCAAAATATCCCACTGCAGACTGAGCGGTGTGACTGATACCTCATTCACACCAACGGTGTTTCAGGGCCGGTTCGGAGCTGGAGCTTGAAAAGCACCAGGTTTTCCTGTTCATACCGCAGCGGAGAAGCCTCTTAGCTCCGGAATCCGGTTCATTTCAAACACCAACAAATTGTCCGGCTAGAGCAAAAGCACTGCATACGTCACGCTTACGTCGAGGCGGGGGCAGGGGCGGGATCAACTCCTGAACAACAACAAAAAGCCTGCGTTTTATCCAGTTTGTAGACAACGATGGAGAAACTTAACAAGCAGCAGTGGTCCACTGAAGAGACCAGCTACCTACTGGGAATCTGGTCTTCCGAAGAGGTACAGAGGAAGCTGGAGCACAATCGGCCATTGTTGTTGTCAGTGTGAGCTGTGAGGGGTTTCCGCGCGGTTTGGCTTTATGAAGCAGGCACGCAAACGGTTACGTCATGACGCAAACGATGACGCAATGACGCAGCACCAGTCGGACTCTGGGCGGTGTGAAAAGAGCCGGAGCTAAACCGAAGAACCGGTTCTGAACCTGAAAAGCTCTAGCACGGAGCTTGAACCGGAGTTGCGTTGGTGTGAATGAGGTACAGTGGGGCAAAAAAGTATTTAGTCAGCCACCAATTGTGCAAGTTCTCCCACTTAAAAAGATAAGAGGCCTGTCATTTTCATCCTAGGTACACGTCAACTATGAGAGACAGAATGGGGGGAAAGAATCCAGGAAATCACATTGTAGGATTTTTAATGAATTAATTGGTAAATTCCTCGGTAAAATAAGTATTTGGTCACCTACAAACAAACAAGATTTCTGGCTCTCACAGACCTGTAACTTCTTCTTTAAGAGCCTCCTCTGTCCTCCACTTGTTAACTGTATTAATGGCACCTGTTTGAACTCGTTATCAGTATAAAAGACACCTGTCCACAACCTCAAACAGTCACACTCCAAACTCCACTATGGCCAAGACCAAAGAGCTGTCAAAGGACACCAGAAACAAAATTGTAGACCTGCACCAGGCTGGGAAGACTGAATCTGCAATAGGTAAGCAGCTTGGTGTGAAGAAATCAACTGTGGGAGCAATTATTAGAAAATGGAAGACATACAAGACCACTGATAATCTCCCTCGATTTGGGGCTCCACGCAAGATCTCACCCCGTGGGGTCAAAATGATCACAAGAACGGTGAGCAAAAATCCCAGAACCACACGGGGGGACCTAGTCAATGACCTGCAGAGAGCTGGGACTAAAGTAACAAAGGCTACCATCAGTAACACACTACGCCGCCAGGGACTCAAATCCTGCAGTGCCAGACGTGTCCCCCTGCTTAAGCCAGTACATGTCCAGGCCCGTCTGAAGTTTGCTAGAGAGCATTTAGATGATCCAGAAGAGGATTGGGAGAATGTCATATGGTCAGATGAAACCAAAATAGAACTTTTTGGTAAAAACTCAACTAGACGTGTTTGGAGGAGAAAGAATGCTGAGTTGCGTCCAAAGAACACCATACCTACTGTGAAACATGGGGGTGGAAACATCATGCTTTGGGGCTGTTTTTCTGCAAAGGGACCAGGACGACTGATCCGTGTAAAGGAAAGTATGAATGGGGCCATGTATCGTGAGATTTTGAGTGACAACCTCCTTCCATCAGCAAGGGCATTGAAGATGAAATGTGGCTGGGTCTTTCAGCATGACAATGATCCCAAACACACCGCCCGGGCAACGAAGGAGTGGCTTCGTATGAAGCATTTCAAGGTCCTGGAGTGGCCTAGCCAGTCTCCAGATCTCAACCCCATAGAAAATCTTTGGAGGGAGTTGAAAGTCCGTGTTGCCCAGCAACAGCCCCAAAACATCACTGCTCTAGAGGAGATCTGCATGGAGGAATGGGCCACAATACCAGCAACAGTGTGTGAAAACCTTGTGAAGATTTACAGAAAACGTTTGACCTCTGTCATTGCCAACAAAGGTTATATAACAAAGTATTGAGATGAACTTTTGTTATTGACCAAATACTTATTTTCCACCATAATTTGCAAATACATTCTTTAAAAATCAGACAATGTGATTTTCTGGATTTTTTTTTTTCTCATTCTGTCTCTCATAGTTGAAGTGTACCTAGGATGACAATTACAGGCCTCTCATCTTTTTAAGTGGGAGAACTTGCACAATTGGTGGCTGACTAAATACTTTTTTGCCCCACTGTATATGCCTCCGTTCTCTGGGCCTCTGGGGCATATATAGTCCTGGATGGTCTGTTTGGTAATTTTTAGTGTCAGCCCTCGTCTTTCATCTTCATCAGAGTTTGAGACAACTTATTCATTTTTCTTCAAGTTTGTCAGTTTTTAGCAATTCCAGTCCTGAACTATGTAGCCTCAGAATAGTTAAGGGAAATCACACAAACTCTTTGTTTTGGTTTAGTCAATGCAAGTTAGGACCTAACTTTCCACTGCAGGGCCTTGCATGGCTTAGTAAGGTATAGTTAGGCCTTGCAGGCCAGGCTCACTTTATGCTGCGTTTCCATTACAGTTTAGGAACTGGGGTAGTAACTAGTAACGCAGTGTAGGGGGAGCCGTGACGTCATCTTCAATGCGAAACACAACTCCAACATCAGCCGTTAGCTGTTAGCACTCAGAGCTCACAGCTCCTCATACCTGTTCAGAAACTAGACAAAAGTTAAACATGTACATACCACAGACTGTCTGTGTCATGGCGAATACAGTCGCTGGTTTATTTATGTCTGTATAGGCCGTTGTTGTGAGTGTAGACGGTCGGAGCATATACAACGTTAGCTTAGCCGATCTCCATTCAGAAAACACGCATTTTAAAAGGTTTTTCGCCTGCCGTCTGTCTGCAGACTTGTCAAAGCATTAATTCATGGTTTTTACTTACCGGTATCAGTATGTTGTTACTTTGGCATCATTTTTTAAACGTGTATTACAATGAAATCACGGTAAAATATGTTAATTTTGTTGTAGTTGTAGCCCCCTTGCCAGCGATTCTCTCACTAGTTTAGCATACTCAGCCCGGTTGTTGGCCCGGAAAGAACCTGGATTTTGGAGAGCCAGAAAAACTGTGAAACAGTACCCATTAGCCGGAACTACCCCTAGTGGAAACGCAACAAAAAACGGGCCGGGTTTGGCACGGCACGCTTAAACCGTGCTACGCGCTGCAGTGGAAATGCACCATAAGATAACCTTCCGGTAAGAATCTATCTTGAACTAATTTTCAATCCTAAATAACTTGGAATATAAATATGGAATGCTGCCTTTTAAAGAGTGATCTGATATCAAGGAATATGAAATATGACAATAGGAGGGCTAACCAGCAGAACAGAGGGCGAATAAGTCAAATTAAATCATTTTAAATACCCAAGTGAAAGGTTGTCTTCTCACGATGATATTGTTTTTCTGCTCCACTACTTAGATACACAATGCTATGTCATATTGGAAGTAAATGAGACTTGTTTAATTAATTTCCCCTAGTATCTCACTAAACGTTCTTTCTAGCATAAGATTCGGAGGGCTGGAAATCCACCACGCTCCTTATTTTCTCCTGCTCATGCCACTCTTAAGTCTTGTTTTATCTTAATAATAATAAACCTTTGTCCGTTTAGGGACTTCAACCCTGAACAACTTCTGTGCCTAAAAATCTGCCTGGCTTCAGTCTTCAGTCTTTTGGTCCACGCCTGGTTTCTATTAAAACATTTAGTTGTTCAGGCTCTCTCCTAAAAAAACCCCACCATGTTCCATCCCTTACCAAAACCTACAGGCCCATATCTAAAGTGCCTTTAATCTAATAGAGGTGGGAGAAGTACTCAGAATGTACTTGAGTAAAAGTAGTAGTACCAGAGTGTAGGAATACTCTGTTACTAGTAAAAGACCTGCATTCAAAATGTTACTCAAGTAAAAGTATCGTTATCGTAATCGTTATCTGAACATCTAAGACGAAGCCAACTGCTGTCTTGCCTGCACACAATTTGTATTTACAATTTATGAACAACGCTGTGTTCTGATGTGGGTTTATACTCCATTTTTTTTACATCTAGATATTTGGCAGTCTTTGAGAGTGTAGATCACAGCGTGCTGACTGAAGGCTCAGACTACAGGAGTTTCAACATCCTCACTGATTTTAAACATTGGGTTGGATCACAACTTCAAACTTGATTTTCTCTCTAATATGAAGAAAACCCACACCAGCTGTTGGAGACATTTTCAATAAGGATGAAACAGTTTGTGTTACAGTATGATTTATGAAAAATATTATTTAGAACTGTTAAGATACTTTTGAGAAAAGATAAAGGTTTGCTCTTTGGTCAAAAGTGGAAAGCCTAGTTTTCCGTATACTTTTTACAAAGTATGTCACATTACTTGACGCATTATAAGACTATATTATCTCAAAAGTAGCCTAAGCAGATGATGTTATAGTTCGATTTTTGTTATTGTTTCCTGGAAAGTAATGGCGATACTAAAAACTCTCCTGTGTGCTTTTGATAAATGTGCTTCAGACACCTTGCATAACTTCATAAAAAAAAAGATAGAAAAGCCCAGGATGAAGATGACATACAATCAGAATCACACTAAAGGATATTATCAAGATTAAGAAAAGTCCCATAATGAATAGTTTACTTACTTGTATTATATTGCTTTGTGGTGACTCAAGGGGCTTAATGAGCACGGATAAAACAAAGAATAATGGACAAAACATGATATATTTCTTTGTTCAACATTTAATGTTCTGAAAACAAACACCTTTATTCTACAAGCCTCAAATGTTACATGTGTCACTGAACATTTTGAAATCTTTGAACATCAAGATGAAAAACATATCCATACAACAACATTGTTCAAACCGATCAGAAACCAAGGCAACACCCTACACTGTAGTTTACATATTGAATGCACAATTTCATCTATGATATAGAAAAATGATGTTGAAGTGCTGTTTAAATGTTTTAATCTAAATAGTATACAGACAGAAATAAACCACCTTTTTTTTTTAAACGAGAGATTATCTAAAGTGTTTGTGGTTAACAAGGTGTTTGTTTTTTATTACGGTAATATAATACTACTAAATATTAAGAACACACTTTCATTTATTTGTTTCCCACACAATGACTAAAAAACACAATATTTAAAACACAACAATTCTAAGATTTGCCATTTCTTTTTTTAAAGATGAGAAACATCTGCCAATGTGTTGAATGTTAGAAACTGGAGATATTATTTTAAGAAAAAAAAGATAGTATGTATGTTCCTTAAATTAATGGCTTTCATGTTAATTGTTAGCTTGCATGAGGCCAGTCCACACCATTAAGACTATCCTGAGCCCTCATAACCAATTATTATTGAATCATTTTGAATCTGAAGTCCCTCTAGGACTTTTTGAAACTGCATCCGGATCTGGATCTGGACTGAGCAGAACCCAGAGGTATCAAGCTCAGTGGGGGATGAATAATCTCCACTAAATGTCTCTTAAAGTTTCCTCAGTGGTCATACGCCTAGCCTATGAGCTTAACCTAACCATGCTAACTGCGCTTTGATGTTTTGTGTAATTGCTCCACTGTCGCAGATAGTTATTCTCTTTTAAAACCACAAATCATCTCTGCCGACTTAATTAAAGAGGTCCCAGGGTCTCCTGATAGCAGGCCTGTTAGCGGTAGTATTAGCATAGCCTTGTCTGCAGGTGATGTACAGTTGGTCACTGTTAAGCAGCATTGAGTAGATGATCCCCGCCCCTGCAATCAAAATGTTTAAAGTGTCCTTGGGCAGGATACTTTAACCCCAATTAGCTCCGTAGGCATGCGTACATGTAATGTAATGTAATAAAACCTATTGGCAATAAACCCTAATTAGATTCTGATTACCTACAACATTTGACTTGCATCTCCAGCTACGTTGTATGTTACCCAATGTCAGTGTTCATGACCTTGATACCAATCTAGGGGGAGTAACATCTCGCAGGCACACACCACGACTAGCTAGCACCAGCTAGAATCCATGTCAGCCCCAGTAAGCCAAGGATAGAGTTGTCAGAGATCAGAAAATAAAGCCTTGCCAGATAAGTGTGAGGCACTTTGTCCAATTCAACATAGGCTCAATACTTAATTAATGATCTTTCCTACGTTTGATAATAACATCAAAACAACGGTTAACAGGTACACGTGAGGACTTAGTAGTAAGAACAGTTGTGCGTATGAGTGAGCAGGTTCAAGTTAACCAAATCTCCCTGGTTGGTTTAAATAAACCCACAGAATTCAACCACTCAACAAAAAGCAAGACAAAGTGGGAGAACAGACACAGCTAGCGAACACGAGGAAGAAACGTATAACTCTTGTGAGATGAGTGAACCAGGAATTTGTGTAGTGCAGTGTTTTGTTTCTATATAAAGTCTCACTGTATTTTAAGGTTGAAAGAGATTTGATGTATTATCCCAATCTTCTGTTTTTAGTTTGTATGAATCATTTAGCCAGCTGGTGTAAGAAGAGCTTTGGTAGAAAAGTTGTAAAAAACATGTAGAAATAATGATTTAACTCATGATCTGTCCATTGGCGCTCACACTGTTACACATGCTTCTCTTCTCGCTGGAGGTCTGTCTCATCGGGTGAGGGAATACAGTAGATAGCTCTTCATTGACTGCTGCGATTGGCCATTGCTGCCTCGGCTGAGTGTTCCCCCCCTGTGTCCTTCATCGTTGTCCTCCTCCTTTTCGTCAGCACGGGCCATGTTGCTGTTGACATCTGAGTCCAGATCAGTGCCATTATACAAGGGCCAGTCTGTGGAATATTCGATCTGCTCGACACATGGAGGCTCATCGTCTTCAAAGCAGCTACATGAAAGGAGAGCAGAGTTATGTTAGCAGAAGTGTCTATTGGTGTGATGGAAGAAACTGAATGATTACTCAGAAAACATTCGCAGACATGACATAGTGAATTGATCTATTCCATTTAATTAGTTAAGGGGATACGGTACTTTTGTTTTCTCCAATCACGATCACAGCTAGTCTTTAGTGTAGGCACCTCCACCTCTACTTCGTTTCTCATTGTTTTTCTTCTGTGTGTTTTATGACTCCTTTAACTTTGAAATCATATAACCGAAAGGCCAGAAGAGAGAAAACATTTAACAAGTAATGTTATGATTGTACTACTTGGATTTGTTTGCTTAGGGGTCTGATCGAGGCTTTGGACCAGATGAGTCCTAAGAGTTGAAACCAATCTTGACTAGTTTTTACTGTTTCGCTTACATGCTTTTAATTTTAGCAGGTGTTTCTACCTGCAGACATGTAAACATGGACAGTGTAACATGTATGATGGCGTTAATAGTAAAAAAATAAAACAAGGCTGATTCCATTTAGATGCTCCTGGTAGGGTTCTTGCTGGAACACTGTCCTGACTTACTTAATCAACAAGTGTATCGCCATGCTAGCTTCTCAATTGCAGTTTGACTTCAAACGTTCCCTTAAAGTAGCCATATTAGTAATCTTTATTTCATTTTTTTTTTTAGCTCTGTTCAATGAAAGGGAACTCTCAACGCTCCAGTCCATCATCGTCTCAACAGAACATATACCAATCTTCTTTACAGGTTACAAAGTCTATCCTGGAAGAAACGATATATGGCAATATCCCATGTCTTATTAAGAGCCACTGTTTCCGCATTAAATGTGAACTCTTATCCTGCAGTAGAGTTTGAGGGGTCGAAAGCTACATTTCAAAGATCACCTGGGGCCTCATTTATAAACGTGGCGTACGCTCAAAAGATGATTTATAAAAAACAAACTTGACGGGAAAATGTGCGATCCTCCACGGACAGTCTGACCCATGCGTACGCACACAAACGGGAGAGAAGAGAAACTGTGACGCCGTTGGCAGAAGGAAGAATGGAGAGAAATATGTGAAAATAATACCATAAATAAAATGTTACCTCTCATTTATCATATATGAAGAATTAATTTGCAAAAATGGATTAAAGCCAATCTTAAAATGATTAAACAAACACCTGTTTGAGACTCCTCAGTGCACACAAAAACATAACTTGGAGAAATAAATAAATACGGATATGCTATTGAAAACCACCTCGAATTCTCTTAATGTTATGAAATGTATTCTCATAAATGATGAGGTAAGCAGAAGGACAGAATTACATCTAAACTGACGCCGTTTTGAATTTCCATAGGTTGTATAGATATTAGATACTATCATGTTTAATCATGTTTTATGCCGTTTGCCAAGACTTGATAAGTCGCTCATAAAACACCATATATATTTTTTTGGAGGTATGCAAAAAGAACACCATATATTTGGTAAATTGTACAGCTGATATAACACAACACATTTGTTTTATTTCCTCTAACTAGTGGATAGAGTTGCTGCAGGGGGGTTCCTCATCCTCATCCAGCACCAGTCACTTTTCTGCCATCTCCGCTGAACACTTTAACATAGTATTAACATTTTAAACTGTATACCCCGGTTATCTAGGCCCTTTTTGTTTTTTTGTTGTTGTTTGATGTATGATATGAGTCTCTGTTAGAGAGTCTCTGTTAGAATCCTAAAATGAACTGTGTGGGTCTAAACAAGTTGAAGAATGTTAGGCCCCTGAACGCATCATACAGCTCAGCATTTTAAAAAAAAAAATATGTCTGTGTGACCTTGAGCTACTGTCACTTGGATTGACAGCTGAAAGAAAGCAACCAGTAACATGATTATGCACACAATGTGAGAGATGCTGTGTGTGTGTTTGTGTGTGTATATGTGTGAGAGAGCATGCAGAGACTCACTGGGACTCTGTTGGGAAAGAGAGGATGTGACACGCACACTGATCAACATGTTACCGTGGTATTGAGAGGGATGGAGAGAGTGAGAGAAAAAAGAAGGGAGGAGAGAGACAGACTGAGCAAGTGAAAAAGACAGAAGGGAAAGAGAGTGGATGTCTAGCATACTGATGACAGCAACTCATTTTGTGTGTGTGTGTGGGTGGGTATGTGCGCTGGGAATGAAAATGAGCAGTGTAGCTAGTTTTAGTGTAATGCTGATCCTCAGAGTGTCACCAAAGATGTATTGGTGGACCTTCAGACTTATTGGATTGGATTCATATATTTTGTTTTCTGAAATGCATCTTTGTAGCTTTGAATTCAGTCCTAACAGTGTGTAATCGCTGGGCCTGAGCTGGATATGAAGTCACTTTAAGAACAGGGTGCTGCCAACAAATGGTTAGTTAGTATGTCTTCAGTTGAGTGTCATGTTTTAGTGGATAAAGAGTATGAAGTGATGACTCAGTGAAAATAAGGCCTGATGTACTGTAGGAAGATCAGAGTTGAAACACAATTCTGTGTAAGAGGATCCTCTAGACTGGTGCATTGATGATGTATTCTTCAGGCCAACCCCAAAACCCCATATCTTTTAGGCCAACAGCCTAAAAATGCTAGCATTTATATCGTGTATATATATATATATTTATAACCTGCTCTCAATGACAATGCTAACAAATTGTGTTGCTCCTACAGTGGTGGAAGATACCATTGTGTTACCATGGTTTTACCACCAAATCCTACATGTTGACCCTTTACATAACTTGAGGTAACTAAACAACCACTAGTGTTAGGGGTAACGCGCTACAAAGTAACAGGCTACAAAGTAACAGACTACAAAGTAACAGGCTACAAAGTAACAGGCTACAAAGTAACAGGCTACCAGAGATGGGGTTGTTACTAAAAAAAAGTAATATATGAAATATGAAATATTACTTTAAAAAAAAGTAATATATTACACTACTTCGTTACTCTCTACATAAAGTAACTCGTTACTTTACTCGTTACTTTACTCGTTACTTTACTCGCAGGGCCGGCCCGCCCCTCCCTGCAGGCAGATCACGCAGACTGCTAAAGTTTCAAATGTTCTCTTTAGTTCAGTTTCCATTGTCGCATAAGACTGATCCAGATCCTGAATGTTTTCCTATCTGACCATGGCTGTCCTCTGTCTCCTGCTATCTGTATATTTTGTGCAGTCTATCTCTGCTCACGCTGTTGCGTCGGCGTGTTCTCCTGCGTGTTGGCCATGTGTCGCACTGGAACCAGACACCGCAAAGACTTCAGCCGAGCACGTACGAACTGCGCATGCGTGAGTGGCAATAACTCTCCTTACCAGCAGGCGGCGGTAGTGTGTATTCGTCATTCAAAACAGGCAACAACCGGAAAACAGAGAAGAAGAACAGACTACGTGATATAAACAAACGACAAATAGCTGTGCGTTAGCTTCACCTTAGCATGTGTTCTTTGCAGGTGTTTGTTGAGGTTTGATTATGACTGATTTTAGTAAGTAACGAAGTAACGCGTGTCGGGGCAATGTTAGTAACTGTAGTGTGATTACTGAATTATAAAAGTAGCGCGTTACACTACTCCGTTACCGACAAAAGTAATATTATTACAGTAACGCGTTACTTTATAACGCGTTACACCCAACTCTGCAGGCTACAAAGTAACAGGCTACAAAGTAACAGACTACAAAGTAACAGGGTTACAATATTCAGATTACATTTGTCTGTAACGCAGTAGTGTAATGCATAGGATCAGCAGTAATAACATTAGTTACTAAGCGCAAAATGATCCAGTTACTTTAGGTCTTCTTATCTCTGCATAACAGGAGGACAGAAAAATAAATCAAACGTCCCTTTTCTTCTAAACTAATCTTGCGAGTTCATGGATGAGGAGACGGAGCAGAAATGTCAAAGGCTCATAGCAGAGATAAACAGGCTGTTTATCAGGCTGACTCGACAGATATATTAGGTTTAGTTATGTTTTTACTCTAGTTTTGTGTTTTGATCTTGTCACTTCCTGTTTTTATTTTGAAAGTAATCTTTCCTCTCATTCCAGATCCCACATTTCCTGCCTTTGTGTGTTTCCCGCCCGTGAGATTGCTTGGCCCTGCCCTGATTGTTTTCACCTGTGCCCATCCCCCTCACCTATATATAGCCCAGGTATTTCTTTGTTCCTTTGTCAGTTCGTTATGTTTCATGTCGTGAGCACCTTGGCCTTTTGACTCCTGATACCTACCTTGAGATTTAGACCTTTTGCCAAGTGAGTTTTTGTGTTGCTGTACAACTTAGTTTTGGCTGTTTAACTACTTTCTATTTTTTGAAAGTACGATTTAGTTTTTGTTATTAAGGCGAGACACCCCAGATGAATAGGGTAATATTTTTAACTTAAAGGTATCAGCTAGATATTTCTCCAGTTAATTACTTACAATAAGGCAATTGTTTTTTGTATTACAAGTTTTCTGAAACAGCATGTTTAAATATGCAAATTATCCATTATCTCATTAAATATGCACATATTTTAACACATTTCAGGAATCTAATTCTGAACATTGGATAATGCCAGGTTCAAAATTATTGTTTCATTTTGTAGTCATATCAGTATCTAAGGCTTTTACAGAAGGGATATTGGATATCTCTTTTTATCATATACTATCAATACTGTCAACAGCCCTAAAATATAAATTTTCGCCATGTTTTTAGGTATACAATGTTGTATAATTCAGACTATGAATGATATATGAACAAACCATTCTGTAAAAGCCTTCATAATATTGATAGGAATATAATTGGAAGGTTTGGTGTATGTACGTGCTACTGATGTTGAAATTTCGAACTCAGAGTAGGAGAAAAAACTCATTTTGAGAAAACATTACATTACATTGCATTTAGCGGACACTTTTATCCAAAGCGACTTACAATAAGTACATTCGACCAGGAAGACACAACCTTGAAGAAAACAGAATCATATAAGTACATCAGGTTTCATAGAGCCAAACATTTCAAGTGCTACTCAACTAGCTA